ACTTACGGCAAGCGCCAGTAATCGTTTATGGATTGCATACAAACGGATTCGTTGTGTCGGCCCATGGTGAGGATCGACGAGGGCTTAGAGGCCTGATTTTTGCGCTTTCACGTGTACGTGTGTCTACGTCGAGTTTATGCATGCATGGTTACCATCTCTCCGAGACACACATGCATGGCCTTTCTCGCTTCATGTGTTCATTGCTATACCGTTCGAATGGCTTCGTTTCGCGCTCGATGGCCTTCGGTTGATCTCCTCTATTCCCTCCGGACAACCATTATTGGACACACGGTGGTGACGACCACCATGTAGAGTACACATTTTCTTTTCTTATTTTCTCTTCCTTTCTTGTCTTTTTGTGTGTCTTTGTGTTATTTTGTCTCGTTTTTTTATCTTTGTGTCCCGTTTTCGTTTTTATCGCATGAACTTACATGATTATGTGCTTTCTCCTATGCTTTTTAGTCAAGCAATGAGGACATTGCTTTGATTTAAGTGTGGGGGAGGGATTTTCGTGATTATGCATGTTTAGGTGATACTCTCTTCGTTTTTGGTGCTTTATTTTTTGTTTTATTGTGTCTTGGACCGGTTTTGTTTGAGTTTTTGTGTGTTAGTGTCATCTCTCCCGCATGAAACTTGATGTTTGTTCGAGATTCGAGATAGCTAAGTGGTGAGTCGAGATTATTGATTGGTTTCACTATTAGCGTTCATGCTTGAGGTACTTGATGAATTTGACAGTTTCCTTCAATTGATTGATGATTCGTTGACATGGGAACCCGCATGTGGATTACCGAAATTCTTTTGTCCCTTGTTTGTTCTCGATTGATTGTCTCGAGACATGCTTTTCTTATGTTCGATGATTGTTGTAAACGTGTTATCTATACACTTGTGGTACATTTCGATTGAGTTGAGATGATTATGTTATTGTAATTGTGATGTATCCTTGTGTGCCTCTCCCTAAAAAAAAAGAAAGAAAAAGAGAATAAAAGTGAGTTCGCGAGGAAATACGAATTAGGCTCCTCTTATTCCGAGCCATTCGTGGATTGGGATAATGAGCCCGGGAAACCGGTCTAGGAAACTCGGGGAAACCCCTCGAGGTTAAACCTAGATCATCTCCTCCGGAAACCTCGTTTGGAAAAAGAAGCTCACGAAATGAGTTCGTGAGAGTCGACGGGATTAGGCTCCTCTTGGCTTGGTTAATCTCCTAGATAAATTGGGTCAATGAGCACGGGAAACCGGCCTAGGAGACTCGGGGACAAACCCCGAGGTTAAACCTAGGAAATAATCGTCCTAACGGCTCTCGTTTGGAAAAAGTGGCTTATTTAAAAAAAATATATATATATAATAATAAATAATTAAAAGAAAAAAGAGAAGAAAATTCGGGAGTTGGCCTATTGATCTCATGCTTATTATCTCATGTTTTGTAGATCGTTTATGGTTTTTGCACGTATATGTGAATTAGGGGGTTTGACTCGAGTGATCATTTGTGGAATGACTTGGCACGAGTTTTTGTTTTGTTTGATTCATTATGTGGGTACCGTGTCTCGGATTGGATTTTGATTTTGGGATAACCGAATGATAATGAGAGTTTCATTTCGCATGTTCGTTAATTTTGGACCTCTCGATTTTTCTCTTCGAACTATTTGTTATTTTGTTTGCTTGAAGACAAGCAAAAAGCTAAGTGTGGGGGAGTTGTTTGTAATGCTTTTGTGCTTATTTTTATGTGTTTATTTGTGTTATTGAGTCGGTTCTAGGTTCGTTTTTGTGTCGACCGGTCCATTTTATCGCATTTTGTGTGATTTTATATTTTCTCTTTTATTTTGTATTTTCGGCATACTTGTCCGTGCCTTGTGATGAAATTTCAGGTTATTCGAAGGATGAATGAAAAGTCGAACAAAAATTCTAAAATTCCGAGAGGTTTTGAGTTATTTGCACGAACCATTCCAAACCGAGCATGTCAAATCCTTAGCCGAGCTCGGACGAGCCCTGTTTTGTCCGCTCGCGACCCCACGCTCAAACCCGCTGCCGCGCAACCCAGCGCCTAGTACGTTCACGTGCTCGAGGAAGAACCCGCGCGATCGAGAGCATCACAACTGCTGCACGCCACACCTCGCACAAGCCGCGCGATTCGCGCGCTCGCGGAAATAGCGGCGACGTCGAGAGCTCCACGGTTCCCTGCCCAACTCACACACTCGCACCGTCGCGGATCTCCTTGCGAGATCGAGAGCCCCATCGCCCACGCCCATCATGCCTCACGTGCTCGCGGGACTCCACGCGAGGTCGAGAGTGATTCACCACCGAAGCCCGCGCTCGCGAATCCGTGCGCGCCATCGAGAGTGTCGCGGCCCAGCGCGCCTGTACGCATCCTTGCTCGCGTGCTCGCGAAAATGGTGGAGAGATCGAAAGTGCCTTATTTTAAATTGCATTTTTTTTTTGTGTGTGTTTTGTGTAGAGTATAAATAATTTTGTTTATTTGCATTTTGAGTATCCATCTCTCATTTTTCACTTTTCCCACTTTGGGAAATTAGCTTATGTTTTATTGTTGCTCTCTAGATTAGGAGCTTATGCTATTTTTCGAGAGATTTTTCGGCGACTTCAGTTTCTTTCAAGTTTCGAGCTTTTGACTCCGTTTTTCA